TGTGAATTTGTATTAGGGGGTGGCCGAATAACTTACACAAAAATCGTTCGGTGTTCACATAAGACATGTCGGATAATACACAATATGTAGTTGAGTTAGTTTGTATTGGAATTAGTAGTATCATGATTTTTATTGTAAATGAGACTTGCTATTGTGATGACACAGTATGTGATTAAGGTTAGTTTGTATTGAAATTGAAAGTCATGATCGCATCAAAAATTTTTGTTATAATATAGCAATGACAAACATCATGTGGTTAAGGTTGAGTTTATAATATAATCTTATCGTTATAGTTATGATTTCTTGATTGCGTAAGAAATCTGTTACAGGACCGACGAACTGTAGCAACATTCAATACATTATTTAGGACGGTTGTATTGTAACAATATATTAAGTTTTTAATACATAATTTTAAATTTTAAGTTTTCAATTTGAATTTTTAAATTACACTAATAAGATCAATTAAAGCTTTTAATTGTTACTCGATCTTTGTGTATTGTTTTTTTATAGAAAATTTTAATTCATTTGAAGCGCTCTATTAATTAATTTACGATACTTAAAGTAGCGCTATTACACGAAAATTCGATTTACTAGCATAAATTAATTATTTTAATAAGCATTAATAGATTTTAAAATTCTTCTAAAAGATGCTTGAGCGATCTCACAATTATACAAACTATTTTGTCATTGTAATTTAAATAATTTGTATTTAAATTGAAAAATCTAATTACCTGTATTGTGCAAGTAGTGTTGCGAACTACAAACTAATAGTGTATTCAAAAACTATAATTTCATTTGTCTAATTGATCACTCAGTTCATTTTCCTACGTTCCGAAGGGCAGTAGAATCGCTGGATACAGTAATTGATACTAACTCAATAATTGGTGAAGCAGTAAGTCATAAATTTATCTTTAGCTGCAGTTATTGACTTATGCATTAAAATATTGAAGTGTACTATATACCGATACAGTCAAATTATTAACTATACACTCGGATAAGATTAAATCAGTGAATTGTATATTGCTTTTTTCTTTTCATTTAAAAATGTTGGATCAAAGACCCATTATTCTTTGGTCCCATCCGAGGTCTCTTTCTACGGTTTTTGAATGTCCATTTCTTCAACGTCCTCAGGAATTCCATGTTATTTCATGAACCATTTAATCCAATTAGTTGTGCTTATGTAACCAAAAAATTTGAATTTTTGAATCAAATCCCATTACCTAAACCTACTGATCCAATCACTTTTAAACATCATTTTTCACCTACTTTTAATAAAATTCCTGTCCCTCATTACTATAATGAAGATAAAACACATACCTTAAGAGTTTTTGTAAAAGATCATGCATCCAACTTTTTAGACGCATTAGAAGAAAATCCAGAAAGAAATCCATTACGATCCAAGGAAATCCTTTCAAAATTTAAACATACGTTTATAATTAGAAGTCCAGAAAAATCCGTAAAGTCTTTTTACAGAGCTGCAAGTTCTATATTTAAAGCTTGGGATAGAGCCTGCATACCTAATTCTGAAAGATATGATATTTTTTTCCCTGAAAAAATCTGGCTAAAAAAATCAAGGATACTTTATGATTTAATTAAGAATGTAACTGGAGAGGAGATTGTATTAGTGAACGCTGATGATTTAGTCCAAGAACCAGAGAAAATATTGAGAAAATATTGTGAGATGGTCAACGTAGAATTTAAGAAAGAAATACTTAAGTGGAAAGTAGGAAAGTTAAAAATGTGGGATTTAAAATTGCCAGGCCCAGATATAGATTATTTGTGGCATAAGTATGTTTATTATTTTCAATTCATCATTCTTTTCATATATTAACCACATATATATCATAAATAAAACAGGAATGCGATGCAAAGTACAGCATTTGACAAAGCAATCAATAATGATGAAGAAATTGAATATCCTCAACATGTTTACGACTTAATTGCTAAAAGCAAACCTCATTATGAATACCTACTTCAACATAGAATTAAAATTTAGTACCATCTTGTATAACAGTGGTTGTTTTTTTCAAAATTCTATCACTTTGATGTGAGCATAGTGTCAAAAAAGATGAGGAACGTGCTTATAAATACTTTAATGAAGTTAATGACCGCTTTTGTAATAACATAAAGGATAACTACAACCATTTTAATGTTAGACTAGAAGAAATTCGTTCATGCATTGATTTTAATAATGACATGCTACCAATGTTACTATACTGACAGCAACTTTATAGGGTCAAATGAAAATCAGATAATTCTATTTAAAAAAAATTTATTTCCTTTTGAATACTAATATCTATTCAAATTATAGGCAGATATCAAGCTAGTGCTGATTTCGCTATGTAATAGCATCTGAATTAAAATTAAATTTAAATATTGATGATTTCTGTTTTCCGTTTTAACCAATGCCAGGTGCGGTAAGATTGATCAGACATTTGAAAGCCAATCAGATTCCTTTAGTCATTGCAATGAGTTCAAGCAGAAAGAATTTTAACGTAAAGGCTTGCAATAATAAAGATTTATTTAGCATGTTCGATCATATTATTTGCGGCGATGACGTTGATAATAGCAAGTCTGAACCCGACATATTAAAAATAAAATTGTTAGAAAATAAGTTTAATTTAATTTTTTTTTCTATAAAAAAAAAGGTAGGCATTTGTTGTATATAAAGTTTATGATATGTCATCCTTTTTTTGGGTCCTTCATAGAAAACCACATGACAAACACCTGCTTATATAGCTTGGCAAAAAAGGTGAACAACCTGTATCCGAAAAAGTTTTTTGCAATTATCTAATAAATACCAAGCTGCCGAAAAATAAAAATTTTTAGAGCACATTTTTAGGGTTAGAGGTTAATAATAATTCATAACGGCTAACAAACCTTAATAAACCAGTTGACTTGTACTTGGATTTTGAATGAAGTTCGTTTCAAGGTTTTTGCTATTACAGAATCCATATTAAAACTACTATTTGAATACACTTATAGCTATGTTTTTTCTTAGTTGATCATTGTAGTTATCATTGTAAGAATAACATAAATGAAAAATCGTATATTAAAAAAATTACATACATTGACAGGGGGACATTTCCTGTATACGTTATGATTGATTAATCTTACAATTCAGGCTCAAATTAACCATGTAACAAAATAAAAAATTTCAATTTTAGTTTAACTTTATTATTGTTGGCAGATTTATTTTTTTTAGGATTTGAATCAATAAAAATATTATATTTTGGTCTTATTGAATAATTTCATTTTAATATTTTATTGAATTAATATTTTTCAAATAGAATTATCAAAATTGCCACAATCCAAGGAGCTTTTTATTTTTCTATATCGAATTATTAAAATACATTTAAGTCTAGTATTTGTATTGTTTTTCCTTTTTATTTTTTTTTATAGCAAAAATACTGTAGTATCATTATTTTATCACGATTAAATAGTTTTTTGTTTTTAGAAATTACCAGATATTAAATAAAAATATTTATTTCCAATGGATGCTAAAGTAATTTTCTTTTTTATCTTTTCACTTGTGATTTCAATTTTTTCTCAAGTTGAATGGAATTATTTTCTTCGTGATTAAGGTACGCAATCATTCAAGCAGCTTAAAAATTATGTTAAAACATTATGTCTGGTAAATAATGTATCTTTTAGTTATTATTATCGTTATGAACAACAATGTCAAAATTGCTGGCATTCTGGAATTGGTTTGAGGTTTTGTGACAACTTGAAAAATAAATTTAAAGGATATTAAGTAGTAAAATTTCTTTGATACTAAATAAATTAAAATTTTAATTACTATAAAGATATGTATTTTATCCTCTATTAACTAATGCTAAAACAAAAATTGGCAAAATACATAACAATAGAAATTTATGATTTTTTATACTATGTTTCTGTCCTTCTGTACTTATATAGTAAAGTCATGTTATATTTATGTTATGCATAAATATTATTGTAAAATTCAAATAAAAAGAATAGAACGCATATTGAACTTAAATTAGACTACTTTTTATATTTGTTTATAATAAATTGACTCAACAATTAAGTTATGGCAAAATTATTAACTGCAATATATAAACAAAATAATTGGTATCGATACGTATATTAATTCATCTTGGCATGATTCCACGAACATACGAAACTTTTTTGCTAAACCTCTCAGACTTAATATTTTTCACTTGCACAGTATCATCATAGAGGTTTGTGTAGTATCTACTATATTGACACCAGGGTGCATCACTGTCGCCAGAAACGTGATACTATTTCAGAAACATAAAATTAGGTTCCTGAAAACTACACCTGGCCCGTTCTATAAAGTTCTACCCAACCCCTTTATTGCAAACCACACAGGAAGCCAAAAATGACTTTTGTCACATTGACTGCTTGGTTTAGGCCGGGGTATGAACTAAGAGTCAAAAGAACACAGGAGTGAATATCTGAATGAATAAAATAACAAAAAAATTCACAAAAACATAAATGAAATTATACTTCCCTGAAAACACCTGCAATTTCTTTTCTTCCTGATACGGTGTTTGTTTTGAGCAGTAATTTCGTTGTAGTCGTAAAATGGTTGGCAGTCACTTTGAAAATCCGTACGGCAAGATTCTTTATAAATAATCAAATAATAATACAGATAATAAATTAATATGTGTAAAGACACCCGTAATTTAAAACATAAATATTAATGCTATTTTACCAGATATTTGGAGAAGAAAGAGATAATCAATGATCAGCAACAATACAAAATAAATAAATAATTATCTGACTAATCCCGATCCACCAGTTATCATTTTATTTTCTCATGTGTAATTTTAGTCGGTCAAATCAAAGAACATCTCAAATGTAGTCAGTCTAAAAAAGATCATTTCAAACAATTAATCTATAATATAGACAATTTCAGAAAGTATCGCTTTTTTGTTTGCCAATTCTTCGATTTCTTCATTCTATATACAATAGATATAGTAAGTATATACAGTATAATGATATCTATTACTGTAAAAAAATTTTACCTGTTGCTCTAATAAATGTAGATTATTTTCTAGCTCACGATTTCTTCTATTAGTTGCTTCGGCCTCTTCAAAAAATTCTAAATTCTATAAAAAAATATTAAAATATAGTGAATGTATTCAATGCGTATCATATTAAGCAAAAAAAACTTACACAGCGCATTAATACAGCATTTTCTTTTTCAAGTAAACGTCAGCTTTCCATGTAATGACTATCGCCAGTATCATGATCCTTTTTAAAAGCGTGATATTTCATATTTAAAGCTATATATTTTTTCTCCAACTCTTTTATCTTTTTATTTTTTTTATTAAGCTCGTTCATAAGTAATTTAATTTCCTCACAAAGTCTAATATTTAAATAGAATCTAAACTTTATAGTAGTTATTTATAACAGAACTATTTTGTTTAAAATAAACTTACTTTTTAACAAGTGTTACTACCTTTTCCTTTTCTTTTACAAGGAACTAACAAGATAACAAAAGTTAATAAACAATGATAGAATCGTATTGTTATTAAGGGTACTTACCAAAAAGCGTGTATTGTACATGATCATATGTGAAAAGCGATGTTAGAACACTATAGTAATTTTGTTATAAAACACAGTTAATAATACATACCCACGGCAACTTTATTAACCAAAATGCTATTGATAAGGCGAATTTGCTTCTCATTAAATCTACTGATCTCACTTTTAATAAGGTAATACTATTATAACATTGCCTGAATTTACCAATCTAAGGATACTCATATTCGGTTAATGGTAGGTATTTATTTTCAGCAATCTCTAGCTTTTCATAAATTTTATCAAGTTGTTTATACATATTATTTTTGAAAGAGAAGGCAATGCTATCATAATCGCGTTGAATTTGTCTCACGTTTTGATTATGCCTTATTCCTTGTATTATTGTAAAATAGATGTCTTGTAGGTGTTTCTCTACCCTTTCATACTTTATGAACGAACAGTGACATCCGGAACTTGGACATTTGAATCAATGACCTGGAGTTTTTTAAACACCATAAACTTTTCTAGTTCTTCGAGGAGGAAATATTTTTCAGGACCAAAATTCTCAAATTCTCAAGAAAAACAATTGTGAATATTTAAAGAAGAATTAAATTATGCACTGTATATAGAGATACGAATCGTAAAATAATATATAACTGCAATAATATTTATAGATATTCAACGGTTTAAAGTAAAACCCATAGTTATTTATATTAAACCATTTAAAATAATCAATATTTATAAGATTTGCAACTTTATTTGGCTTAACTATAATAATTTTTTTTACTGCCGGAAATACAATTAAAACAGGTTTTTTAATTATAGTGACTTAGTTTATATCGAAATATATTATCTCATGCATGTAATCCGGTTTTCAAAAATTGTTAAATATATTGCTAAAGTAAATTGTATGAAAATCATGTAATTTCTTTAATTGAATTGAACTTTAAATTAGAGTGGCTTTTATGTTATCATTAAATTAGTGACAAATTTGGCCTAAACACATAGAAATATAGTTAGTGTAAATTTTCATACTGCAGTACTGTCGGAATTACAATAATAATAACAAAAACCGGTTCATATAATACAAAAATTCATTTGATATCGATATTGTATAATTCAAAAGAGATCAATTGCCATGAATTTTCAATCTTTTTTTAGAGTATCACGCAAACAAAATAAAATTTCACACGATTTTTATCAAAAAAAAGATTGTTAGATTAAAAGCCACATGATTATATAAATCTGAATCAGTATCAAATATGATTGTGATAGACTTTATAATAGTAATATTTTTATTGAAAAGTAAAATAACACGCGACACTACCAGTGTTATCAGATATGATTGAAGTTTATCTTTACTAAACACGCAAATCTGAATCCTAATTAGCTGACTTATAAAATACTTAACGAAATAAAGTATCACAACCAAAAACTGGTTTATAAATATATATCGATATGAGAAAAATTATACAAAAATAAAATTCACATAATGTATATAAAATCTGTATCAGACATAATCAGTATCAGATATGATAATAGCAATATTTTACTAAACACGCTATTATAAAGCCTGAAAAGTTTATAACACATGTAATTTTATCAAAACTAGCAAGTCTATTGACTGAACATCATAGTCATTAATTAGAATCTCTCTTTTGAAGTTCATGTAATATTTAAATTTATATTAGAGGTTGAAACCAGGTTTAATCTCTAATTTATATTTTGCTAAAACTGGTAAGTTTATTGACTGACCAAGATAGTTCAAACATGATTATTTGATGAAAACTTTGCTTGTAGTTTGACCTGTAAAAACTCAGGGGTTGAGTTCAAATAAAAAAAAAAATATATTGGAAATGTGCTTTATAAAGAAACCATGAAAGTAATTATCTATTAAAATTTTATAAAAGAAGCCTCAAAATTCAAGGCTGCAAGTTAATTCTTGTCAAAAAAAAATGTCAAGAAGATATCCTGAAGATTGTCTTGAATGTAATGGTTTTTGTTTGTACGCAAGATTTGCAAGAAGGGATGTAGTGCTAACCTTAGTTCATGATGAACAAAATTCTCAAATCAATAAATTTAAATGCCCTAATCAATTTACTCAACAACCTCCTTTCGTTGGTTCTAACCATAATGGATCTTTTCATTAACATTCTCATTATGTTCAACAACCTCAAATTACAAATAGACATGTTCAGCAACCACTTATTTTTAATAGACCTCAGCACTCTCGTGTTTATGGACCCGATCAATTTCCTCAGCACCCTTGTATTAACGGATCTGATCAACTTCCACAAATTACTGAGATCAACAATGTTAATAATGAAAATTATATTCCAGCTGAGCCTAATCCGCATATTCAACACTATAATAATCAAGCCATTAGAAATTACCAAACTCAACCCCATTGACTCCTGTGCAAGCCAACATTCAAATTAATAATAACCTCTGAAGACAACAATCATTCACATCTCAAACCTCAAATACCTCAAATGTAACTGTCGAGCCCTTAGAAGAGTTTAAAAATTGTAACTGTCTTGTTTGCAGTTTTTTAAAGAATTAATATTTTCAGAGTATTGCCGAACTGCATGAAAATTGTGTTATACAAAATGAACAAAATGAAGAAGTGAATGTGAATAACGCAACAGTTATTATCAACAATAATGCTCAAGACTCTCAAGATTCAAATACATTATTTTTACTTTTATCATTGTTTGTGTAGTTCTATTTTTAGTATTGATTTTTTTCAACAGTAATATCACAATTTTATCAGCTGTTTTTGCTGATAACAGAACCTTTTTCTTGAATTTTAAGGTTGGTGGAGCAACTAGTTACAATTATGAGTACTGCTATTAGCTTTTTTAAATTTTACACTACTACCAAATAATATTTTACAAAAATGTGATGTTTATTGATTAAATAATGTCAGACATCTAAATTTTTTTCAGTTTTTTTTTTGATTAAATTGTTTTAAATAAAGATCTCAAATAGTTTCTAAAATTTATCTTGAACTCGAAGTGTAGTAATCATCTTGTTAAAACATCACAAGATAACTTAAAAAAATAGCTTAATTCTGAACCACCCAACCAAGGAAACAGTCGGCTGGGTGACAATTTAAATATAAATTATACTAGATAATTAGAAACAAATCTTGTTAGTTAAATGAGTTTTAATTCTTACATATCTATTTATTTATTTAAAAATTTTTCCTTTTTATTGAACTTGTTAAAAACAAGTTTCTTATCAATAATGATAAATAGCAAATGCTAAGTATAAAATGCATCTGTAAATCCTTTATACATCAACCAAAATGAATCAAAAAAATATTTCAAAATTATCTTCATCCCCGCACAAAAATAGTACAGTGAATTCATCTGGTAACAGAACTATCACAAAGAAAAATACTCTCGATCTTGAAAGAATCAAAAATGGTTTTAAATTTCATTCCTTTAATTTTATTTTTTTTTAATTTTATGTCTTAATTTTTAATATTTCATAATAGGTCTTGAAAAGCGTACCAGGTAAAATGTTATCGTAGCTTTCTGTAACCTGGACTTAACTAAAGTAAGTAATATAGTAAGTTAAAGCATTATAGTCAATTTACTATATTAATTACTATAGTTATGTTAATTGCAACAATAATTATCATGGCTGCTTCTTACTTAAGTAAAATTTAGCAAATGTTATTGGATTGAATCAACAAAACTCATCGTGGTCAATATGATTTTGTCTACTTGCGTATCGATTTTGTTAACAAGTGTAATGTCGGATACGCTTTTATTAACTTTACGGATGCCAGGTAAGATTTTTCTTCATACAGTATGTTTTATTTTATTCCCTTTTTTCTACTCTAATATTTTATAAATTGTTTTGAAAGTGGTATACTTTCTTTTGCTGAAGCACGCGTTAAAAAAAAAATGGTGTGGTATATTATTTTACCAAGTTTTTATACAATTATAATGTAACTTGTAACTAGTAATGACCGGTTTAAGGCCGAATTCCAACTCTGACAAGATTTGTAAATTATCGTATACCAATATCCAGGGCAAAAACGCGTATATCCAAAAATTTAAAAATTCCTGGTATGTGTATCATTAGAAAGTTTTGAAGGTATTATTTTACACTATTATATGTATTATTTAACACCAAAAGTTAAATAATATGATTAATTAATATTAAACAATGCTATATATTCTATTATTTAACACTTACTATTAAATAACTTATAATGCTATTTTAAACAACAACAAGCATTCAATTATTTAATGATTGCTATTAAATAATATGTAAATGCCATATTAATATGCCATTTTATATTAATGTTTTTAACAATTGCAAACTATATATGAAACAAATAATTTCGAAATAGCTACCAAACTAATTAATATATAATTATCTA